TTTTGTTTTAGTCTTTTTGCTGTTGTTGCTTTCTTTTTGTGGGGTATGTAATGTAATGTGTAAGGTGGATTACACCTTGGAATTGTCTTGGGCAGTTTGTAGTCCAAAGCTGATCTGTGAGTGGTGTTTTTCGGCTCAATAACATCATTATGAACCCGGTAGTCTCTTCCTTCTGGGGACTTTCAGAGATTGCTGTTAGAAAAACTTAATCATTATTAATATCAAAACAGAAGGTTTAAACATTGGGAGAGCCTGCCATGGGGTGGTGGCATACACCTTTAGTCCCAGCACTCATGAAGCAGAGGCAGGCAGATATCTGTGAATATGAGGCCAGCATGGGCTACAGAGTGAGTTCCAGGAAAGGCTCCAAAGCTACAATGAGAAAACTTGTCTTGAAAAACCAAGGCAGGGGGTGGGGGGTGGGGTGCAGAGAAGGGGCCTGAATGGGCATAGAGTTGCCTGGAGCCCAGGGCTTACCCCTTCCCTCATCAATCAGATCCCCAGAACTGCTGTCTGTTGTTTGTTTGATCCCAGGTGAATTATATTTGTGTTTATATTTATTTATTTAATTTTAACTTTTTTGTTGCTGTTTTTTGTTTTTTGAGAGACAGGGTCTATCTGTGTCATCCTGCCTCTCCTGGAACTCTCTCTCTCTCTCTCTCTTTCTCTCTCTCTCTCTCTGTGTGTGTGTGTGTGTGTGTGTGTGTGTGTGTGTGTGTGTGTGTGTGTGTGTATCTGACTGTCTGGACACAGGAGTATAAGATATTTTATTTTTTTAAAAGATTTATTTATTTATTATGTATAGTGTGCTGCCTGCCCATATGCCTATAGGCCAGAAGAGAGCACCAGATCTCATTGTAGATGGTTGTGAGCCACCATGTGGTTGCTGGGAATTGAACTCAAGACCTCTGGAAGAATAAATAGCCAGTGCTCTGAACCTCTGAGTCATCTCTCCAGCCTGAGAATAAGTTCTTAAGTTCAGTTCAGTCATCACGAAAGAAGGAGACAAGGCACTGAGGGCACATGAAATGAGCAGAGAATCATATTTAGCCATGGTTTGCAGGAGTCTTTGATATACTTGAATACTGCTGGAATAACCAAGAAAAAGTCCAATCCCCAGGGTTGGGAGTGAGGCTGATCCCCATCTTTCCAGCTCCTTAGGGTCTCTGGACCTTCTGTTTCTTTCTTTTGTTTGTTTGTTTGTAGTATGTGTGTGTGTGTGTGTGTGTGTGTGTGTGTGTGTGTGTGTGTGTGTGTGTGTTGTTTTTCCCTGTCTGTAAACACACATTTCTTGCCTGCTGGTGAGGTGGTGATGAATACCTTTATTCCCAGCATTCAGGAGGCAGAGGGGCTTTGTGTTTTTTCTGTTTTCCTTTTTTTTTTTCTTTTAAGTTCTGGCCCTCTAGAGGCTAGAAAACACAGAGAACAAAAAGGACCTTGCAAAGTTTGTCACATGGTGGCTTCCATCTTGGTGAGGTCACTGGCCAAGATGGCTGCCATCCTCGTGAATGTTTCCATGTTGGTGAGGTAAACAGTCATGCTAAAAGCAGTTTCTGAAAAGTTTAGAACTGTAACCTACCTCCCCCTCTATCCCCAGCAGGCATACAGGCTTGCATGCACACACAGGAGCACATCTGGAGATGCATAAAAACATTTCGAAGTTAAACTAAATGTACAATAAAGTTAACAGAAGAAGAAAATCAAAACAGAAAGAAAAATGTTCCTGGAGTTTTATCTTATTTTATTTTTTGATTTCTTGATTTTTTGAGACAGGGTTTCTCTGTTTAACAGTCCTGGCTGTCCTGGAACTCACTTTGTAGACCATGCTGTGAAGGCCTAGACTTAACTTTACAGGCTCCATTTTAGGGAAAGTGCCACCATCTCAGACCACCTGCTGCACTCAGTTCCAGGAAGGACCTCAGGAATGTGCCATGACAACTCGAAAGGATACAGAGCAGTATCCTCTTGCAGACATCCTGTCTGTGATTTATGGCCCTTGAAGATATCTATATAATCCTGCTGAGTTGTCCAGATAATCCCATTCAGCAGGTTGTGGTTCCCCACCAAAAGTCTAACCTAATGGTTTCAAATGTGGCTTCATGCCCAAAGTCTAGACCCATAGTTTCAAAAAATCACCTTGCCCTATGTCCCTTCTACCCAATCCCAAATTGCCAATTTCCAGCTTGTGGTTTTTCCCTATAAAAACTCTCTACACCTGGGCTCATGGCCACCACCATATTTCCTTCTATCTGCTATGTGGTGGCTCAGGTTGAACCTGAATAAAAGGATCCTTATGTGCTTGCATTGGAAACTGGCTCCCTGTTGGTCTCTGGTGGTTTCTCTACATGGGTACAATACACGCTAACCTTGAATTCACAGAGCTTCATCTGCACCTGCCTCCCAAGTGCTGGGATCAAACCAGGTGTATTACCACCACCTGGCTATAAATCTTTATTTTTTTAAAATTAAAGAATCACACAAATCAGAGGGCAGTGACCTGTCATTTTCATGTAAAGATGTGCATTTTGTCATCCAGTTCTAAGAGAGTTCAGTGATCATGAAAGACAGAGACAGGACCCTGAGGGTACATCTAATGAACAGAGAATCATATTTAACCACAGTTTGCAGGAGCTTTTCATTAGGTCAACGGTCATGCTATAAGCTAAGGGTAGTTACCAAAAGGTTTAGAACTATGATACACACACACACACACACACACACACACACACACACACACCATGTGTGCACACACAGACATACCCAGAGACGCATAAATACATTTTTGAGATTAAACTAAATGTACAATAAAATAACAGAATAAATAAGAAATTAAGCTGGGTGGTGGTGGTGCATGCCTTTAATCCCAGGACTCAGGAGGCAGAGCCAGGTGGATCTCTGTGAGTTTGAGGCCAGCATGTTCTACAGAATGAGTTCCAGGACAGGCTCCAAAGCTACACAGTGAAACCCTGTCTCAAAAAAAATACACTCTTCAGACACAATGTGAGATCCTACTCATATTGAACCTCACATGTAATGGAGGGAACAAATAACATGACTTTATAAAACCAAGTGAATGCTGAAAGAAAACAGGGACAGCCTAAGGGAGTTTGATCTGCAGTGGGCCCAGGGACGACTGGCCTGAGGAAGAGATGGCTACACTAAGAAATTAATGAGGAATAATATTCAGACAGAAGGTGAAGAATAGTCTAGACAATCTACAGCATTTGCTGAGACTACATTGGAGTCTGTTTTCATCCAAGATGGAGTAAGAGTTATAGACATATATATATATTTACCTGAAACCACCAAAGCTAAAACAGATGAGATTATTTTGTCAACAATATATAAGATAAAGTGTTACCAGCAATGATGGTCATGATCCAAACTTTGCAAAGGGAAGGGACTAAATTGGAACCAGGGAGATAATCTGGGCAAACTATTGAGACTCCCTCTAGTTGTGGAATAACTCAGTAGTAGAGTATTTGCTTAGCATGTCTGAGGACAAAGGTTTAATTCCTAGAACTTAAAGAAACAGACAAGGAATAAAATATTTTCAGGATATCAACAAAAGAGTATCTAACTAGCCCCTGTAAACATTTCCATCTTGTAGATGAAGAGCTACTTAGTAGTGGTTATGGATCTCAGGGGAAAACAAAAAGGAATAAGTGGAAAGAGTACAACTGGATAAGGGGAAATCACTCCCAATATCCACATCTCATAGAACAATGAGATCATTATGAATGACAACAGTTGAATGATGATTTCAAAATAGTGCAGGAGATCAATGATACTACGACTAAGAAATGACAAATATATGAAGTCATAGCTATAACAACTGCCCTCATTTGATCATTCCATTTTAATTGTCCATGTCATACACATGCATGGAGATGGTGGGAGTCCAGCCCCCACATTTTGAAGGATTCTTAGGAAAAGGAGAGAGGGATAAGAAAATATCATATAGAGGGCTGAAGAGATGTCTCAGGTTAAGAGCACTGGCTGCTCTTCCAAAGGTCCTGAGTTCAATTTCCAGCAACGTCATGGTGGCTCACAACCATCTGTAATGAGATTTTGTGCCCTCTTCTGGCCTGTGTTCATACATGCAGGCAGAATACTATATACATAATAAATAAATAATTCTTTTTTTAAAAAAAAGAAAATATCACATAGTAAGAGAGATCTCGTTGACTAGAAGAAAGACAGAAACACAGGATAGTTTCAGGAGTGCCTGGATCAAAACCAATAGTTTTGAAGGCTTATTCAAAAGCCTTTTTATAGCATGCCAAGGGGGAGAGGCAAAAGACCTCCCCCTTCCTAGATCAATGCATAACATACAGCCAAGTGTAGACACTACCAAACACCTGGTAACTTTGCCTGTGATCAAATCATCCTCTTGTGCAGCCCTGCTGGCTAAAGCAAACTTGGATTCTCTGACCCTGAGTAATTTGGCCCTCACGAATTCCCCCTTCTAAACAATATAAATCTCAAGTGGGCATATGGAGCTTAACTTTACGCAGCTCTGAATCAGCTTTCTCCTAATAGCTTGCAAGTAGCTGGAACAACCCACAGCAATACTCCTGCTCCCTATAGCTGCCACATCTCCCAGTAAAGGAGTAGAGGATGATAAAGATAGAATGGCCTTTTTTGTTGTTGTTGTTGTTGTTGTTGTTGTTGTTGTTGTTGTTGTTTTGAGACAGGGCTTCTCTGTGTAGCTTTGGAGCCTGTCCTGGAACTCACTGCAGCCCAGGCTGGCTTCAAACTCACAGAGATCTGCTTGCCTTTGCCTCCCGAGTTTTGGGGATTAAAGGCATGTGCCACCAATGCCCATCCTCGAATGGCCTTCAACATGTCTATAGCAGTCTTGGCTGCACCAAGCTATTTTTGAAATCAATAAGCTCCTGATGCAACTGCATTAAATCTAAGAACTTTTTAGTATTACCATTAACATGAACAGATTAACAGCATAATTCTAGCATGAATAGTATGATACACAATTACAGTTTTTATAAACATATCCAAAAGCAAAGTTTTAATAGAACTATTTATACTTTACAAACTTTAGCAAACATCCAAAAACAATCTCTTAAAAGAACTATTTGTATTTTTTGCAACAAAACATAGGGTACATTAACACAAGTTAACATTAGTCCAAGCAAGGGACAAGAAATATTTTTTTTTTAAATTAAAGAGACTCAGGAATATTAACTCACCCCCCTTTTTAAAATAATTTTTGAAGCTGCATCTTGAGCCTGTATGGAAAAAACAATTTGTCTATACCTATACCAAGCAGTTCTATTTTTACACAAAAGGTTAATTTCTACACAAAACAATTCATGAGTCACCACAGTTAATAAAGCATATATGTATACACAAAACAACTCATAAATCATCACAGTTGGTAGAATCTATATGTGTAGGTAAAGTCAAAATTGTCCCATTGCAACTGAATCACTCCTATCCATCCTATTTCTTAAGTCTGAAAAGTTTAAAAACTTAGTTCTGATACCAGTCTTAAAGTTCCATTAAATGTTCAAAATCAGGGCCTGGCTCATCAGCTGCCCTGAAATCTTTGTATAACTGTCCCAACTATCATAACCTTTTGCAGTTCCCTGGTGTCCAACAACCCCAGTTCAAACCAGCATCTCTGAAACTTTTGCTCTCAGCTACAGCTGTGCTTTGCAGTCTGTAGCCTTCCCCTTAGACAATTTGCTCCAGGGCTAAAGCTGTTAGCTCCACAATAGAAATCTTTGAATTCTCTCAGAGACCTTCTTACAGCCAGCAAACAGAAACTGCACCACTTTGACTGTTGGCTTTCACAGTCCCAGTTATTGAATACCAAATAGCAGCAAAGCCTTTATCTTGCTCTTTTTTTTTTTTTCAGTCCTATTCCTGGGGCCAGAGGCTCTCAAATGCCTCTCACCCCAGGAGCTCAAGGTTCCTCCCAGTTGCTATGAGCCATGGCATTCATACAGCAACCCTGGCTCTGGGAGGAATCCCAGTCATGGTCAGTCATGGCTGCTGCACCCCGGCTCTGTTACCTGATCTGCCGGTGGCCTTCAAGTCCTCTGTGTGCTGCCTTGTTTGCAAAGCCAAATGCTGCTTCAGGGCCCCACATTCTGCTGCTGAGAGCTAGGGCTGCGTCAGTATCAGCAGTTCCCACAGAGCCCCGATTTGACTGTTCAACCTAGAGCACAGCTCTCACCTCCACAGGTCCTTGGGCTCTTGGGTTGAAGTTGCTCATCTGGGTGCTTCTTATCAAGCTGCTGCTACTGCTGCTTCTCTGCCTGGGTCAGCAGTCTCTCTGCAAGGCTTCTGCTGCTCACTGCTGCTTGCCTTTAGTCTCTCCTGAGGAGTCTTTGCTGGGCTTTGGCCACCGGAAATTCTGGCGCTGGGTGACAGACCTGCTCTGGCCACTAGGTTCTGAAGTTTCTGCTGCTGCTCTCCAAGCCACTGCCTGCAGTTCACCTGTCTCACTTCGTGGCATCTCTGCTTGGCTTGTCAAGGTTGAATGCAGCCTCAAGCCATGTCTCTCTGGCTCTCAGAGCATCCTGGCTGACTGCACTCTCCTTGCCACAGCTGAGCTGTGGCAGAAAGCATGCAGAACCCCTCATCTTGTTCTGGCAAGTGGTGTTTGCTGTTTTTGATGGCTTCTGGAGCTTCTGAAGACACTCAAACATCTAAGCTCACTGTCTACTTGGTCCTGGATGCTGCTTTCTGTGTCCCAGGTCCCATACTAGGGGGGAAAAAAAACTACCCTAAGTTAAACCTTCACCAAAACTTTTTTTTTAAATAACTTTAAACCTAACTTAATAAATAGATAGACAGAGAGAAACATAGACAGAGATAGGTACTTGCTGCAGCCTAACTTTGCTTTATATTTAAAATTCTACTCCTGCAGATTAGAATATAACTGCCTCCTTTAATTAATTAGTGGGCATGCCCCCTTAACCCGTGGTGTTCCTTCTCTTTGTCCTCTGTACCTAAGCCCCATATTGGGCACCATCTATAGGAGCCCAGCTCCTACTTTTTGAAGGGTTCTCAGGAGGAGGAGAGAGGAATAAGAAAATATCATATAGAAAGAGAGACCTAGCTGAAAAGTAGAAAGATAGAAACACAGGACAGCTTCAGGAGGGCCTCAATCAATATCCAACAGCTTTGGAGATTTTTTCAAAAGCCTTTTTATAATATGCCAAGGGGATAGGCAAAAGACCTCCCCCTTGCTAGTTCAAAGCATAATGTACAGCTAGGTGTAGACCCTTCAAACACCTGGTAACCATGCCCAGGGTCAATCCATCTCCTTATGCAGTCCTGCTGGGTAAAACAAGCTCAAATCCTCTGACCCTGAGTAATTTGGGCCTCCACGGAAGATGTCACACTGAACCACATGATACACACAACCACATATCTACATAAAAAATGTAGAAACATAATTTAAAATCATACTTTATCAGAATATCATTAATACAGATAAATGTGATAAACAAATCAATATATATATATATATATACTAAAATCTAAAAATATTACTGAGACAAATGGCTGAAAGACATTTAAAGAAATGCTCAACATCCTTAATCAGAGAAATGCAAATCAAAACGACTCTGATATACCACCTTACACCTGTCAGAATGGCTACAATCAAAAACACCAATGACAGTCAATGTTGGAGAGGATGTGGA